CGGATCCCCACGGATTTCCGCGCTACACAAGATGCGCGTACTTTGGAGTTACGGGCGCCATTAACCTGTGTAATTGCGCGGCCGCGAGAAAATTGCAAGGTCATCCATCAGGCCGCATTCCCAGCGTTTGTCTGCTTTCGTTTTCCTGGTTTTACAACCCCTTTTCGCGTCTTTTGACCCCGCCATGCAATAACTAGAAACTAGAAAGCTCTTTCCCCTTGCCCGTTTAAAAAGTACATAAATCAATCCGATTGCCGCCCATCTCAATAAAGATCGCATTGTATTCTTACCCGGGGCCGTTTTGCACGAACGGCTCCTTTTCTACTTTAAATGTACTTTATGGACAAGAAATTTAATGTACCCACTATTAATGAAAAGTGTCTCTTTACTATTCTAACGCCTGTATATAATGTAATCAATAGATAAGTCCATGCACAATATAATAAATTGAAATGATAGAAATGCAGGAAATTTAATATGTTACAAAGTTCGTTTCATTATTTTCCCAGTCATTTTAGCTAAGCCTCTAATCTTTTCTCAGCTTTTATCTCGGATATTCTTGAAGGACCTTAGAGGTCTTTATATTATAAGCAAAGATACTTCTTACATGAGGCATCACGATACGACTAAAAGGATCATAAAAGATTACTATAAGGCTGATAGGCAATAATCTAATGCAAATACAAATGTTATTAACAATTTAATTTATAATAAGTATCATTGTCATGTGTAAGTTTTCCTTTGTTACAAATTGCAGTATCGAATAGGCATAAATTCAACTAATTCATAGACATTTAATTTATAGAATTGTATTATCATTTTGAGTTATTAAACTACAATAAATTAAAAAATTCTTAATATATGAATTTTATAGAGTACATTTTGTATGTTATAAAGTAAAATATATCATTATTATGTTCTCTAAATATATACCCGTAAGTATTCAATAAATAATTTGATTTTTAAAACGCTCGTTGATTTTAAACTTTCTATTATTTTTATTGCAATGTAACATATGTAATAGAAAGCTAGTTTAAATATAGTTAAAGATTCATTACAATCAGGTACGTGGGTTGCCATTATAATGATTAATAGGTTATTTATACGCTTTCTACCAATATTTCTAATCCATAAAATCAATATTAATCGTTTCAAGATCATCAAATCAATATAGAATAGAAATAGAAAGATTATGTTATTCAGAGTACGGTTTTTTCCCTTAGAATTAGCATTTTCTAAATAGCATGGTTAATGTAATGCAACTGAAGTTGAAAAATAGAAAGTAAATTTTAAAGTAAAATGATATAAATTCATGTAATTATAAAGTCAAAGGAATTGAAAATATTGTAAGTTAAATGCATCACATATATGGAAATGTATCAGCGGTGAGAAATTCAAGAACAATCTACACTACATCAGTGTGATGCTATAATACTATCGTGCTCACTTATAATCTAGTAGTCATTTAAAATTTTTACCTTAATCGATATATTCTTATCTACAATGTAAGCCATTATTACCCTAAGCTTTCATTTTAATTCATTGGCCTGAATGTACTCCATTAGGCAGAGAATCAGCTATAAGAACACGCTAAGCTATTAATTCAAGGTAGAAAAGGCGTTAAACAAGTTAGACAGCCAATAATAAATTACGAACTAAATAATGCTGGGAGGGGGGGGGATGGAGGCAGCGCAAGCTCAGCTCCTCGCTAAACTTCATTCAAATGATAAGCGTTGGTTGTGCGAGAGAAATCGCACGACGTTACATTACGTTACATCGGCGGTAGTGGCGGCAACGCAACAACCTCACTCTGTGCCGCTAGGGCCTTCGTCATTAGCGCTAAAGGGAAAACCAATTAACCGATGACGAGGATTAGCAGAGACACCGTGCGTGCCTCCGCAAAGCAAGAGGACGCGGCGTATCTGGAGTGTTCGGGCGGCCATGATAATCAACGCTCTGACTCCCCCCCCCCCA